ATACATTACAATGAAATATTAAATATTTTATGATATGTTGTTCACAAACTAATGGGTGTAACCATATTTAATTAAGACGGTATTTAATTTTCCAACAAAGCCATGTTTAAATAAGAACTATAAATAGCAATTAATACAAACCAAACAGATAATTAATTGGTATTTGAACATGTTATTATTTACACGGCACCGGGCACAGTGCACACTGTACATTGCTGTCTGCTACACACAAATACACAATGTACATTATAAAGACTACAGATCGAAAAAATATCGTCAAGAGTTCAATAATCCTAATATATAAAATGACAAGGAAATCAGCTGTCTATAGTGTACCAATGGAAAGGAAAACGCCGGCTATAGCGAACCCATGGCGTAAAAAATGAAGCACTGCTCCGTTTCCCCAGCCCGCCGGCCATGTCCCGTCGATTCTTTATAGCGCGACCAATCGCGTACCTTCGCAGTGGCGGCGGTCGGTTTTAAAACGTTTTTCGTTATCACCTCTTTTCCTATCATTTCGCCGATTTTCGGAAAATTAGCTGTTTTTACACGATATCTTTTCGCCCTTTTATATACTTAATTCGAAGCCACCGGTGTGCGGTTTATATTCGTGCAATGTCGATCAATAAATACACTCCGACAGGACTTTTTTGCCGATATTTTCCTTTTCTCCCACCGTTTCGTCTATTCGCACCCTTTTGTGCCCGAATCGAGTCTTTTTGAAGCCGTTTATATGCGCTTTTCCCCCAAAATCGGTTCGTTCGCCTCGCAATCGCGTTTGGAAATTACGCCGGCGACCGACCGGCCGCACGCGTATATATACATGTATATACGTGTATAATTTAATTTTTCCTTATGATTTAATAATTATTAACGGAAAACGCTTTCACACGCCCCGTTAAATATATAATATATGGGAGATGCGCGTATTACAAGCGAATTATATGCGATAACATCGATGTACATCGAATATATCGGTTTACGTCGCTCCGTAGTGGCGTAGTCGCACGGCTTAATTGTTAATGTTTTCACTGTCTTTCATATCTCAAACTGTGTCCGAGTAGGTTAGGCGTTAGGTAGGTAGCACTAGGTCCCGGGTTCGAATCCGTCGTACGCCGTCCGGGCGTTGAAACCGTTAATGCCATATGGTTTACACGGCCGCCCGAATCCCGACTTTTTTTGCATTTTTTTTCACGTTATTTTTCATATAAATTAAATAATAATATAATAATACAGGAACATATCGTACATTATTATTATTTAAAGTCATTATCATTTTATATCACACAATAAATAGGTACATATTATATTTGTTTTATTAGGAATTATTATAATTGCATATTTTTTAAAATTTCCATGATTGTTATATAAATATAGTTTGTATTTTATTTCGGTTTGCCTACCTAGGTGGCTAACTTGAAAGTTAATCTTGATTTTGACTTGAGAGTTGAGATGACTGACTTGCTAGACACTCCAACACGGTTTTTGACTTTACACTTTTTACATAAGAAAAGGCACCGGACATGCGAAGGCACATACCACTCTATGTGATATACCTACTATATAATAGGTGATAGACGGATTGCTCATTTTAGTTTCGTCTTAAACGGTGATGATTGACTTGATAGACACTTTAACAAATAACATGCAGGTTTTTGCAATTTTTGTTTTAATTAATATATATACACTATAGGTAGGTACATGTTTATATGTATATTGGTTAATATAATAGTATGTATCTAACTATCTACCTATATGTTAATATTTTTTAGGAATTATAATTGCACATTTCTCAAAATGTTCATTGTTATATTATATCCACAATAAATACATATCATATTTGTTTGTATGTATATAGTTTGAATTTTTCGTAAATTATTTCGTAAGTTGTGTGATAGGGTTTTCACTTATAGCCGCTTGATGTCGGGTCTGCAATCCACCATTGCCTACCTGATTTGCTGTAGCACATAGTCCGCGATCCGACAAAGTCGGATTGCCTACCTAAGTGGCTAACTTGAAAGTTAATAGATTTTGACTTGAGATGACTGACTTGCTAGAAACTCCAACACGGTTTTCGACTTTACACTTTTTACATAAGATAAAGCACCGGTCATGCTACGGCACATACCACTCTATGTGCAGGTATACTCTATATAGGTGATCCTGAAGATCGTATCCAGCCTATCCATTTACAACGTTTGTGACGGATTGCTAGACACTCAAACTTTTAACATTCCCGCCAAAGCGTCTAGCCTTATCTCCAATCCATATCACTAATCCTTATCACAAATCCTAAACTTTCGTCTTACAACCTTTGCGACTTTTATAATTCATTGTCTCCAAAATCGGTACCCACTCTCAGCGATTCCAACGGGCCCCGAGTTATACTTAGAGCTAGTTAATAAATAAAACATTACACAGCAAGCAAAATAATAAAATATTATGTTGGTCGTCTAAACAAACATGTACTAACCAAAGTGACAGGAGTGCAATGTTATCGGCTTAACCATTATTATTTATAGTTTATTATTAATCAATAAATTAATATTTAATTGTCTTGTAACAATGTCAATAGGTAGCAACAGCTAGTAAAAAATTGTTCGTCTTAAACGATTGGGAAATACACCATGTATAAAAACATCAAAAACAAAATTAACTCATATTCTATTACATTATTAATTTTATATTTTAAACAATTATAATGACATAATATATCGGAATTAACAGTTTCAATGATTTCAACATAAATGGCATAATATAAAAAATGTATTAAACTAAAAAAAAATAATTTTAATTTTGACATGAACAATAATAATATAAATAAAATGTATGTAGGTACCTAATTAGTAATTACATCGAAACATGTGATTGTTTCCGTGAAGATCAAATGTTTAATTTAAAAAAAAAATTACCCTGATTCAATAATATATTATTGCGGTATTCCAGACAAATAATTAGGTACCAGTATCAAACTTCACAATAATTATTTTTAACAATATTTAGATATACTAATTCTATGATATAATATTATATAATAATTTTGTCTACAAGTAATAAGTAGGTATAATTATTATTTTACTAAGGACATAAACACACAGTAAATAATAATAACAAATAGATTCACTTATTCATAATTGTCTAACAAGTATAACGGTAAAGTGGTGTACACACGTCACACATATAGGTACATAATTATAAATGTAATATAATAATTAATAACTGGAGGGCAATGAATAAACTCAATAATAAAAAACTTTGTCAAAATAAATGTTAAAAAAGTAAAAAGTACTGTTTATACTTTATCTGTTATTAATATAACAAAATAAATCCTTTCTAAGAAGGTTATCAATTTTATCGATGATAATATCATATTCCATATTTCTATTTTACTGTTTAGTAAATTATTTTTCTGAGCAATAATAATAAAATATTATACAATTATTAATATACCTAAACATCGATAACATAAAAACCTTAATTAAACACGAGATATGATTTTCACCAACTATGATTTATTATTAATCAAGTTAATTATGTTAACTTTGTAGCTTAAATTATTTTATAAAAAATATTTATTTTATTTAAAGAACATTAATGAGTGCCAAACAATACCAATTGAAGTTCTTAAATTAAATTGTTATTGTGCACTATTAACGATGCACTAAGTGCATATTAATATATTAGGTACATATTTAATTATAATATCTAATAACTATTAGTACCTAACTAAATGTATATAAAAAATGGTATTAAATTATATCTATTTTTCCAAATAGCTGTTTAACTGTTTAAATAAACTTACAATTATAATATTTTAATACCTACATATCTTATAATAATATACATTTTTTTTTTCATAAAATTGATTAAAAGTAACTTGAGACATTTTAGACCTAGGTGGCAAAAAACAATTACTGAAGTGGCATATCTGAATAGCCTGATAGATTGATTTATATTGTATATTACCGTTTGCTATTATGTAATGAAATATCTTTTTTAGAGTCTATCACGAAGATGCAAGAAATGAAATGTGGAGCAGAGAAGTATGTACGACCATTTAGTGTTTAATTCAAATATTTAAGAAATAAAGATATACAAATTTATTTTTGTTTGAAAAATATCTAATTAGGTACACTGATACAGTGATACAATATTACTGAAGTTAACATTCTGTATTTAGGCTGTATCTCATAACATAGGTCTGATACAAATAAGTAACTCAACAAGAATGAAATGTATACAAAAAAATAATAATCAGGAATTTTGGAAAAGAAACAAATCTATTAAAATAATAAAATAAGTTTCAAATACAAATCAATAATAATTTGAATTCTATGATTTGAATTTTTATACTTATTTAGGTATAAATCTAGTTTATTATTTTTGTCCAACATAAATTAATTTTTCATATATATTTTTTCAAACAAATTATTTAGATTTATAAACAGTGATATACAATATATTCTGAAGTCTGGACTCTCCATGTATTTTCTTAGTTACTTGGTAGTTGAGTTAGGATTAAAGGGTTTAAGGACAAAATATTTTGGCCTGACAATTTTTAAGTTTATCAGGATAGTAGATAATGAAAATATTGCACTTAAGACCTACGTAGAAGGGATAACAGATTCTGTAAGTCTCAAAATAACTACATAAATTATGATATTACGTATAAAATAGACTTAGGGGCGACTAATGAGTTATAAAAACTATTTTATGTTATCCAAACAAGCTCGGTATCAGGTTTAAGATTAAGGTAGGATTTATTTGATGTTGGGCCTATTAATTACTAGCTTTCCTTATAAATGTTACTACTTACTAATAATAAATAAACAAATAATTGATACAGGAGTCAGAATAGAAATAGTTTACATGGAAATGATAATTTAGTAATTAAACTGGTGTGCATAATACTTACTTACAGTTCTTTTGTTATATTAGTTGTTGTATTGTTGTTTCTTGAATACTTAGAACATTTGTAAAATTAACTCTTTATTACTATTTTATGGAGATTTACCTCTATACTTTCCGAGATTTTGTACTACCTAAAAACGTGGAACAAAAAAAAAAAATTATATATAAATACATTAAATACATATTATTAGGGCAGAGGACTTGTAGCATTTGCATATTTTTTTTGCACAGCCACAAAAATAGCAGAGTGCGAAACAAATACGTTTCATGCTTCCACAAAGCTAGTTTTGAAATTTTATTGTGCATATAAATGCATATTTTACGTTTTTTTGGTTTTTAGGGCATATTTTACACTTTTATACGCTATTTTATATTTTTTGAGACATATTTTACTTGAATCGATTTTTTCTACAGTGACATTTTTTTTTCAAACAATACAGTCAAAATGTTTGGATAAAAATTTATTTATTTTTAATTTTTGTCGTTTAATATGGTTTTTGACTGTGCTCGGGCACACATTTTTCTTAGAAGCGATAACGATTTTAACGTAAACTATACCTACGACATCACCACCACAGATACGTGTGTACACCATGCGGGCTTTTATTCGATTAGGATTTATTTATAAAACGTTTCTAGACACGACAAGAATCAATATTTTAGTATTTAGTATTTAGTATTTATGTATTTATTATTTAAATAAAAAGGCTAAAAAAAATTTTAAGTGCATATTTTAATTGCATATTATGGGGTTTTTTAGTGCATAAGTGCTTGCATATTTAGAGCTTTTTTAGAGCTACAAGTCCTCTGCCCTACATATTATTATAAATTGACTATTAGATAATATTATTACTTAAAACTTGATTCTAAGGAAAGTGTACCATGTAAGTATTTCTTTATAATATGGATTAATTACTACGTTTATATGATGGCGTTAAAACGCTCGCGCTATGTAGTTTAAGAATTTAAAACCGTTTTATTTGCTTAAACCGGTTTATCAGATGTACATATAAACGTTTCAGCAAATAAAACGGTTTTAAATTTTTTAACTACATAGCACGAGCGTTTTAACTTTCAAAACGGTTTAGTCTTAAACCGTTTTAACGCCATCATATAAACGTAGTAAATTAGATGCATTGACATAGTTATAATATTATTTACTACTTTCATTATTATTATGTTTACATTGATGTTATTATTTTGAGCAGAATTTGGTACTTAAAGTACTTAAAATCATTAGCAAATTGATTTATATCGCTATGTTGTATTTTACTATTATAATAAAGGGGTTTATCAAAATGTATATAATAAATAAAGTGTTAAGCAACATAAAATGTATAAGACATTTTGAAATTATAAGAGGTTCATACCTCCTCAGCTTAGACATTTAATCAGATACATAAAAGTTACAACTGTTACAAGAAAAACAAAGCATAAAATGATAGCACTATAGCATGCAGAAACTCTTAAGAAGATGCCATACTCGAGTGTATTGTCTCCGTCCTATAAACCCATAACATACCAAATAGTGCATTCTGAATAATTCATTTAACTCTGTTAAAATTAATTTTATAGTGAACTGATGTATTACCAAATTTAGGAGTAAGAATATTATCAGGTGGATGACAGGTTTTTTTTTATATTTTAATTTTAAAACGAACTATGAGCATTATAAAATAGTAATTGTTTGTAAATTTTAAAATACTAATAACTTGCTTTAAAATTAAAGTATTAAAAAAACACTACTAAATAATATTCTTACTTCTAAATTTGGTTATAGGTCAATTCAGAATGTACTATTTAGTATATTATTGTAGTAATGCATGTGGGTACTTTAACAGATAATAATTGTTTGGTCCCAAGGTCATTAAACACACTAGGTTATATATGGTATTTGATTGCTATTAAATGTATCATTTTGATATTCATGGAAAATATTTAAAACAAACAGACTGTACAAGAAAACGGTATTTTGATTTTGGAAAATAATGGTCTTCACTACAAAATGATAATTATAAAATAATAGGTAACTCAACTGTTTTATTTGTTTGTTGTCTGTGCTTTGATAAAAATGTTTGAGTTTGTAGCAGTCCTTGATTCATTACTCTCTGATCAACAGATTCTTGCATCTTAGTTTGTGCCTATAGATTATAAATAATACATACAAAGTCATTAGTAATTTTCAATAGTTAAAAAATAGGATTATTTTGAAATATTAAAACATGTATAATGTTGGTTTAACATGGCTATCCAATATTATTAGTAAATACTAAATAAACAAAATAATATATACTATGTATAAATATTATTTTATTTTAATTTTTCTTTTATTTGTATTTTCATAATATGGAGTTCAACAACCCATTGCACTAACTGCAGTTCTGCACAAATTATAATTACACTACTTACTAGTTTGTAAAATGCAGTGGATATTAATTTTTCTTCAATCTCTAGTGATGTTTTGTAGTTTTCTTGTTCTTTCTGAAATAACAATACATTATTAATAACACATTTTTTACATACATTAAAGAACAAAACTGTTCAACAGCCCAATAGTTTGGCTTTACGATTTTTAATAAGAGTTTTCCATGTATACATGATACATTTACAATACATACCTTTAAATCACTTATTTCTTTATTGGCTTTCAATAGTCTATTTTCTAATACACTTATGTCAACATCAGATAATGATACATTTTTAGCGTCCATAGACTTAACAACTGATTTTGCTTTTTCTATGAATTTTTTGTGTTTCTCTTCCCATTCTTGTATTTCCATATCTTTCTGATGAAGAGAATTTTGCAAAATATTTATAAATTGATCTGAAAAATAATATATTTTTATTCATAGGTTTGAATTTAGATAAATAAAGTTAAAATTTATTTAAACACAATAATTTACACTCTACTAATTGTTAATCTATATGCTACCTAACATTATTTCACCCACCTTTATCTGATATTGTCGTATTTTTTTCTTCAATATCCAATGATCGTGTATCTTTTTCACATTGTAGTTGACTTTGTAGTTCTTTAATTTTGGAATTCCATTCATTGGTATTTTCTGTTTGTTCTTTTAATTCGGATTCTAATTCTAATATCTTTTGATTAGCTTTTCTAAAATTCAGTAATTTTGTAAATGTTACATACAATAAATTATAAATAATTTACTACCAGAGCAAGTAATTAAAAATATAAAAAACATAATTAAATGAAATGACTTATTATGAACTATATAAATTAAAAAACTATTTTTTTAAAGAAATATAATATAAGAAGAAATACCTGTTGTCTAAACGCAGTTCATTATACTGTTGTCTCGTATTATCCAAAATACTTTGGAGTACCGAAATTTTATCTTCTTCTGGTTCTTTTTGATTCATTTTTAGCATTGTGTTCTCATGCTGAAGCCTCACTAATTTCTGTCTGCATATTTATAAAATTATATAAAATAAGATAGGTGTTGATAGAACATTAATTTTATTATAATAACAAACTTGAGGTCCATTGCTGATTCCATGTCATCGCTAGCAGTTGTTTGAGAGTGTTCAAGTGTACTGGTCTTTTTCATTTGAGTTTGACAACATTTTAATTCTTCATTTGCTTCTTTTAATGAATCCCTCTCAATAACTAATCTCTAAACAAATTTTAAAATTAATGAATATAAAAACAGAATAATCTATTATTGATTACATCTTTCTCTTTCTGCAAGGTGTTTAAGTTTTCTAATAACTTTTTTGATTCAAATTCCAATTTATCAATTTTGTTTGTCTCATCATTTAATGTATGGTGAAGTTCAGTAACTTGTTTTTTATATATTTCTAATTGTGATTTCCACACGGAGGATTTCTTAATTTCCTATAAACATAAAAATAATCTAAATAACTTTTAAATTAATTTAAGCATAAATATTTAAATCATATAAAAATTAAAAAAATGAATAAAATATAAACTTTTAATACTGAAATTGAAGTTTATTATTTGAATTGTTAATTTGAAAACCAGTTGAACTATCAAGAATTCTAAGCTAACAACACATAAGAAGTACAAATGTGGATATTCGAGTCAACTGTATAATATAATAATATAAAAAAAAACTTTACCTGCTCTAGTTCCATATTTTGTTGAATATAAGCTATATTTTTTGATTCCAATATCTTCACTTGTCGTTTTAGATCACCTAATTCTTCTAGTTTTTTTTTATAAGACTGTATGGTTGATTCATATTTTTCAACTCTATCAGCCGTATCTCGAAGAATATCTAATTCGTCTTTAAGAAGTCTCGCTTCTCCAGCGGTTTCTTGTAATAAATCAAATTTAGTTTTTAATTCAGCCATATCTCTTTCTTGTGTCTTGAGTTTTATTCGATAGTCGTCTCTAGCTAAAATATGTATTTTATTATTAGTATATTATAACAGAGGCCATTAACATTTTACGACAGGCTGAATGCCTTGAATCTAAAATACGTTTTTACATCGTTGGGTACATGGAGGAATAATGAGATTCAAAAGAGAGAATAATCTTTTAATTTTTAAAAAAATATTAAGGACTAATTAGTTTTGATATTTTTAATTCCTGTAACAATTATTAACAAAGAATTTTGTATTAAGTTTTCGACAGTATAAACTTTTGCAGTGTAATAATACTTAATTTAAATGTTTGTAACATTTATAACTAATTAGTAAATAAAACTTACACGTTTCAGCTTTGTACAATTCTTCTTTTAGTTCTTCAATCTGTCTTCTCTGACCACTGCCCTTTAAGGGATCTTCAACACTTTCTAAAAGTCGTTCTTCTAAATGTCTTTTTTCATCTAAAATGTAAGTTTTTTCTTCTTGTAATAAACTTATCTGAAAAGAGTTATATAGTTATTTTTAATTACAGTTATAACATATCTATTTAATTGTTATATGACTTAAGTACAAACAAAGTTTAAAAAATATATAAAAATAAGTATATTTCAATTACTTGAGAATCAAGCTCAAGACAGCGTTGAGTCATTTGATCTCTAGCTTTGGTAACAGATTGAAGTTCATCAATAAGTTGTTGAATTTGTTCTTGGTGATCAGTATCTACTCCGAGGCTAGTAGCTATAATGCTTTGCGGATGTCCTTGTATCCTTTCCAGATCTTGTATGGACTGCATTATTACAGTCTGGGAATTTTCATCCATTGATCTGATATTTGTTATATAATCTAAAATAATTAACTTATTTAAATTAACTATTTCTAAGCCATTGTTTTAAGTTATTTTTTTAACCTTGAGCATTGCGACAGTTAACAGCACATCCCAATATGAGTTGCAATAAACGAGCTAATTCCATTGTATCATCTTGGTCTCCTGTTAAAAATATTTTATTTACTAGTACTTAGGTAAATAAAATTATCTTATTTCAAATAATTTATTTTATATGTTGATTTCTCATAGATTCTTAGTTGAATTGATTTTACAATGATGTATTTTTTATTAAGTTTTGTGTCTTGTCATCTTTTTATTTTGGAGCAGTAAAAACACTTCTATATTATCTTTCCTGGTAGGAAAGTGAATCTAGTTGTGGTTCAAAAGTAAAAATTCTTAATACTTTTCTAATAATTGGGGAAACAAATTGTCAAAACCGAAAATATTTAGGTAAACCCTGGTTTTGACTACCTAAATCAATTGTCTTATTTTCTTATTGTTCTATAATGAATAACCATGACATTTTCCCCAAATTATTTTATTATCATATATACATGGTACATTTTTCATAATATTTTGACTCATTAAGCTATTTATAGACATTTTAAATTTTAAAAATTAAATAATCAATTGAACATAGGCTTAAATTTAATTAAATTTTGGGGGCTGTACATTACTTTAAGCAAACCAGTGGGGAGCTCTTCACACACCTTTGCTTAAATAGTATTCTTAAGAAACCAAATTTTCACATATAATTTATTAAATGTTTAAAACAAATAAAATAGTTTTAGAGTTGGTAATTTATAACAATAATTATTATTATTATATACAGTTCCCGTCCACGTAACGGTTTGATAAGAAATAGTTTATTATTGCTTATATTTGTATTTTCAGAATCTTATAAAATGTATATAATATGGCAAACAAACATAGTAACATAGGCATACACATTTTTTGCAAATATTATTCATACAAATGGTTAGAGATAATTATTATGGCTATGAATTGAATGCATTAAAAAACCTTAAAATCTCAAAAAAAATTTATAAATGCATAATAAATCCCAAAAAATTCACTAAAGCTTTAAAAACACATCGAAATCAAAAATGTTAGTGTAAAATGCACTGCGAGTATAATTAAGAATCATATTGCGAAAAATATAATCTATTAGGTATAAAATTCTTTAAATTAAATGTATTATTAATTTAGTACAATGTGTGTACAGGACATGTAAAATACTTGCAAGATTAAAATTAAATAAATAAAATAATTCATAAAATATACTACCAATTTCTCTAAATTAAGAGATTTTTAAAAATATTTGCGATTTATCTCTATTTAATAAGTCCTTCATTAATACTATGGATGAAAAAGTTCAATAAAGAAGTAAAAAATTTCAATAATTAGTCAATAAATATTAGCAAAAAACTGTTCATACACCTTAGATTGGGAACACACTGTCCGGTTGCTGTTCGATTTCACAATTATAACCGCAACAGTATAAATCATCTGGTTGTCCGGTTTGATCGAAATACATCATTTTGAATTAGACCAACCACACTATCCTAAAATAACCGCTGCGGCTGTAGCCGGACAGTGTGTTTACGCACTTATAAGTTAAATACTCAATAACACAATATATTACCTATTTTTATAACATCTGGTTTTACAAAATTGCCCATATGTTGTGTGTCGCAATCTTGATAGAAATCTTGAATTTTTTCAACAATCTTTTTTAAATTACTAACCTGAAATGAAGTGATAATTTTAAGTTAATAACTTAATTGTTAATGATGTTCATAATATTCATTTAAAATTAATTTTATGTTGTAAATTATTTTGAATTGTGTTAAATGATAAGTTTACACTACCTTACAAAATATTTGGCAGACATGAGTAAGTGCAACTCTTAAAATACCTACCCAAAAATATATTTACAAAATCCATGGTTGCAGTAATAATCTATACAAACTATTACTTTCACTTAAAATGCATAAAATAAAATATAATTACCTTAAGTCTCCAATTATTTCCAACATCTTTTTTTATTTTTGAAAACCAACTGTCATCAAAACATTCAGGAGAACTGGAAATAAAATATATATATAAACTTCAACTAAATAATAATAAACTGTAATTTATTTCAATAAAATATGCCAGCTTTGCTAACTTTAGGTACCTACCAAAATTTTTTTATATTTTAAATATAATAAATATACATTTTTAGAATCTGAGCGGAGCGAGGAAGCTAGTGGTTTTACAATGGTGCTTATTTTTCTTTTCTTTTTATATCCTATAAACAAAACTTCTACCAGAAGGAGTTCTTCAATTTCAACATATAGTACCTTATCTTTTAGTAAAATGGATCAACATGGTACTTTAGAGAGTTTATTTTTTCGGTTTTATCAATAGTTATTTAATGCCACGGTAAAAACCACCGAAAAAATTACAAAAAACCGCTAAAAATTGGATTTTAATTTCTGACGCTTTGTTTATTACAATAGAAAAGAATACAAAATAATAATATTATAATATTAATTCAACTTACATGATATAATGATTAATGACAATATAAAATATCCAGATTGATAAACCGTCTCCGCTCAGAATCGTTTTTCTTATACAATGATAGAATATCATTGAATTCAAGTTTAATACAATCCATTATCCAATGACTCACTTGTAACCTACTGTACAGCAAAGCAACATCCACTTACCCGCTTTTTAATGACTAAGAACAATTTTGGTTTAATTTTGGAAATACTTACATTTGATTCAATGCTTCAGCAAGTGCTACACCATCAGTAATATCATACAAAGTTCGATGTGGAGTTTTGAGATGTAATGTTTGCAACTAAAAATATACGCACATGTAGTAACAATAGTAAATTATTAAATTGAGTAATAAATAATAATTATAAAATTAAATGTAGAATTAATAAAATAGTTTTAAAATGTTCTGGTTTCTAGATATTATTTTTATATTTTGTGCTGGTCACTTTTTTCTGTAGACTACCTATCATCATATATCTGTAAATTATCTGTACATATATCTGTACAACTTTGAGCTATAAACCTTTTAGTTTAACTATAATGTTTTAATTTTTTATTGTCATTGACTAGTGTATTATTAACTTTACGCTTAACAGTTTAAAAATTATAATGATATTGCCGTAATGGTAGCTTATCACACATTCAAAATATTCATCTATTGAACTATTGAATCATTGTATTCAAATTAACTTATTCAAAATAATATATTTTTTTTAAGATTAGGTGCCAACTTAGGTAATTACTATTTACTACCTAGAAACAAAATAATATAAGTTATGTAAAATAAAACGAACCCATTTCAGTAGAACATTGCAAAGATCTTTATTCTCTATTCTTGTTGTTTGGAATTCCATTGTTCTATTGATTTATCACTGATAAAATTAACAATTTAAATGTATTATACTTTTAATCTAAAATAGTGAAACAAGTATGAATAATTAACATTAGTAAATACTGTTTCTAAAATCTAAAAATTTTAATTTAAATCTAAACAAAAATGATTTAATCAAAGTAAAACATACCATTAAATATTGTTTTATATGATACAAAATATAATAATACTAATTAATAATAAGCTAAAAAAAAGAGTAATAACGAGTTCTATAACTTAATTACTATTTAGCATTACTGTATTTTGGTTTATTCAAATGTTTTATCCATACATATAAAACATGATTAGGTACACAATGTCACAATCATTTATATAAGTATCAAAAAGCAAATTCATCTCTTATCAGTGTTTATCACTATAGAATATGATAAATAAACATTTAATAATATTATTATCTTGTTGGTATGTACCGAGTGCCCAAGTGGTGAGAACCGTGAACTAAGATAGTTCATATAAATTAAAGTAAGAATTCAGACACACAGACTTCTATACTACTACAATATATAGAAATCTGTGTTCAGACATCAGAGCAGTATTAAAAGTTTATCAATCTTTTATCTAATGGTTCATCAGCGCTCCTGGCCATTTAACGTATTATTTCCGCCTTTGTAAAACTAAATTGTCCACACGCACACACACACACACACACACTCATAATAAGAAAGATTTATATACCTAGTACCTACCTACCTATAAATTATTTTATTTTAAAAAAGTAATAATAATAATAATAATATTAATAGGAAAATAATTAACTACATTGATATGTATTAATATAAATTTACATAATAGTTTTAATAAAATATATGGTACCAACAAATTTATGGATTTTCTATAAAATAAGTATTTATACAAACGTTAGGTACCTACCTATTTGTTTTGTTTTTTTGGAAATATTCGTCTTCAAGTTAGATACTTAGTCGTTTTGTTACTTTTTGACCGGAAGCTTTTTGAACCAACGAATAAAATGTTATTGACTTTAAAAAAAAAAAAAAAAACTGAACAAATGTAAATTAAAACTGTTACCCATACTTCCCTACGCCTACCATACTTATAGAAAGCGATAAAATAAACATAAAATGTAAATTTCAAGTATCTAAGGATATTCGTTTTTAATTACAACAAAATAAAATAATTGCTCTATAAGAAATGGAGTGAATATTCTATGATGTAAAAAATTGAACTTCAAACACTAATAAAATTTACTTTGACTTTCCGGTAGACATTTTTTTTTTGATTAAGGTAGACAAACTTATGACTTATGAGTAAAATGTTCAAATCTTGGATATAAAAAAAACATTTTTAGGAATTTTTAACTCAAAATATTTTGATATTACGAAGTTGTTCAAAATGTTAACTTTAAACGCTCATAAAAAATTATTGTGGATTTACTGTCAACTTTTTTTTTATTTCCACTTACAGAAACTTATAATGAACCTTATATTACGCATTTAAAATTTTTTTTTTTAAAAAAACTAATAAAAATCAAAAAATTCAGATGACTATGCATAAGCTCAAAACAGTGGCAGGTTCAGAGGGGGCAAAGAAGACATATGCCCTACCAGAATCAACGTACTTTTTCTTTGTTTTACACTATGTTTAGCCAATTTTTGTACATTTGCATGGCCCAAAATTAAGCTGTGGATCCGCCATTGGCTCAAAATGATTCAAAATATTTTAGACTCCAAATTTTATACTTTTAGTAGTTACAGGTCCTCTTACCAATATTCTATCGAATAACATTTTCCTTTTAAAAAATATCTCATTTTATTATCATAATCAATATTTTAATATGATTGAATCCTATAATGTTGAACATAACCGTAGCATTTTTAGAAGTGCTTCCTTTCATGAATTTATATAAAATGACTACATATACGAGTATTTATAATTTATAGTTATATTACACAGAAAGAAAACCTATTTTGTCAAAAACTGGTTTTGCTTGAATATTCACTATTTTTGTAATTTTTTTTTTGTTGTTTTTCCCGATAATTTGATACGTAATGGCATTTTTACTTTTGACATTTGACCACTTCTATAGCAATAAAGTTTAACAAGATCAAACTGTCTACCAGACAGTAACACCCTCAAAGTTAATGATTGATTTATTTTTACTGCTCCTAAAGCTGACGTTGGACACAGAGTTTAAAATTGTCATCTACAACCACATACCACATTGTCAAGTATATGTATAATACTAATAGCTGAATTTTCCTAAGCCTAACACTCATAACTTATTTGCACAGTGTCCCACAAAGCATATAAAATATATTTCCTAACTATGGTAAAAATATTTTCAGGAAAATAATATAGTTGTCAAAATATTTTAAAAAGTTGTGTAAACAATTAGAAAATATTTTAGTAATATTCTTTGGCCACGAAGTTCAAATGTTTGAAAATATTTTATAAAAATCATTTACAAAACATTTTAATCACATATTTTTAAAAAACATTTTTACGGAAACTCTATAAAAATATTAAGTCAACATTTTTATGCAATCATATAGTACAATATTTTGTCATAATGAAAAGAAAATATTTATAAAATATTATAAGTCAAATATACTTTAATCAAGTACTTTAAATTATTCACAAAATATTATCATTGCCCAAGATTTTAGATTCTGAGTGGTATACTGGTATTAAAATAATTTTATAGTGTTTTCTTTTGGTCTGTTAACACTTTTTGAGCAATAAAAATGCTTCGATCTTCAACATCGTGGGCGATTTCGGTGGCAAATTTGAATTAATTGGAGATTTGATCAAAAAGTAGGACTTTTATTAATAATTCAGAAAAATATTTACAAAAAAAAGCAGGAAATAAGGAATATTAACATGACACCCGTTTTTGACAAAATCGATTCCATAACGGAATAACCGTAAACACTTGAGTACTATTGACATATTATTCAGTATTCACTAAACATTTATATTAGAATTTTTTATTCATGAGTTCATGACATAATTTTAAAAATATTATTTGAAACGCACACATTGCAGCAGATGAAGGGCTCGATTACATGTTTATAGAGCAGGTACTGAAAATTGTTTTTTACCCGAGAAAATCAAATCTGTACAAAACACCAGCTGTGAACATCAATCCGAAAGCTCACAATGTGGCCATTCCTAATCATATATATATATATTTAGGTAACACGTATATATATAATTCAGTTTGCCGCCACACACGTTGCATCGCACGTCGCTCGACAGAATATACATATATATGAGTTCACTGACTATAATCTCTCCAATACACAGAATCATAATATACGCGTTCATGTCGTAATAAAAACATTTTTTTTTAGCTTATTCACACACACATACACACATTGACACTGACACGCGCGCGTATATAAATAATTAAAAATAATAAAAGCTCTGACCATTATATATGGCATGTATCACATATATTGTATACCTATATAGTAGTTCCCGGTAAACAGTTTAATGGGATATTTTTTTCTTTCTTTCTATACTGTAAACAGAGACAACTGCTCCAGTATCCCATCCCTGACAACGGTTGCTAGGGCGCCGCCTACGTCATCATCCCTTCGATTATTACGTTCGGCACCCGACTACCCTCTTGGGTGTGTAGATAATGTTACGTTAACGTAGTAATTTTTATTATTTTAAAGCATGTATACTCAAATAATTTACATACACCGATGTTTCACGGCCATTGTTTTGGTGAAAAGAAAATGTTATCGAGCTTATTGTCGCGATTAAGCTGACGTCGCGGTTAACACGGCAGCTTCCAGCGGGACGTCTGTAACGCGAAACCATACGCCGCAGCAGTGTGAACACAAACCGCAGTTATCTATGTGATTCGATAAACGACTGTGAGTATACGCGCTTATATAATATTATGTTGGACGTTAATTTAGAACGGGTTTCTCCGTGTTGTGTGATACACATTATTTTTGATCACATTGTATAATATAGGTATAATATACCTACAACTCGAATTCACGACACATTACATCAATATATACCTATAGGTACATTTTTTAATTTTTGCGAAGTAAATAGATTTAAAATAAGTAGATGTGTTGTACAAATCGTTGTCGTAATTTCGTTTATGTGCACAATTTTCAGCTAGTAAGCGTAAATTGGTGATATATATTCGTATTTGCATTACCTGCAGTTGATTTATTTAATTTATACATCGTGAATTAACATCATGGAAAAGTTTAAATAGCTGTATACCTACGAACAAAAAAAATTCTTTCCATTATTTTATTAAAACAATTGCCATTGCTTTAACAGTCTTGAATGAAACTACAATTTACTTCGATACAAAAAATGTACATATTATTATCTTAGAGACCAAAGTAAAATAAGTTTTTGTCTTAACTTATTCAGACATTCTGATAATGAATAAAAATCTTTCACAATGAGTTTTAATTATTTTATCTACATTAAACTTGTAATCTATTAATTTATCTTTTCCGCACTGCTCGTATACCTACATTAAAACGAAATTTTTTTGGACTTATAGTATATTGTATTATATTATGCTAAATTACTATTATACATTTTAGTTAGCTAATCATTTGGAAGCATTTAAGTTATTTAATAAAATAAGAAGCTGAGTACTATAAATTAAACACCCAGTGCCTAGTGAGATGGGAAAAGTAATTACATTATTTATTTACGTGTTTTTTTTTAATAAACAAATTAAAATTGTACTTTCTTAAAATTTATATTAGTATCTGTTTAGGTAGGTAGGTACTTGAAATATTAGTGATATATTTTTGTAAAGTAGGTATATTAGGTAAAAAAACTACTGATCCAATGCTCGCCTGTTCTATTAAAAATGTTAAATAGGCAATATATAGGCTCAATAGCAATTACTTATCTATTTAAATTATTTTCTCATTTACATATTGATATATTATAACATTAATCTATCCATTTTTTTAAATTATTTTATTTCCACTTTGATATATTTTATCGATATAAAAACACTAGGTACTATTTGTTTATGTGTAGGTTATAGGTAGGTAATAGGTATATTATATTATGTTAATTTAATATAGCATGGTAAAATACGCTGCATAATATAATATACACATGCATAGTAGTTTTGGTATATTATATTACGAAATATTTAAAAAAGCAAAATAATAAAACCAATTTATTTTTATTTTCTTGATAGCTATAATGTTTTTGATTAAAATGTATTTATTAACCGTGAGTATATTTTTCAAATAAAAACATTCAAACGCTGTATTTATTATTAAAAGTATTTAAAACTGTACGAAATTTCTTAGAATTCATATTATATTATGTTCATATATACTGTACCCATGTGTCTAAATGTTTAAATAAGTTTTTTTTAATAATACAACACGATTAGAACACGTATAAAATATGGTTGGTTGAACTTGTAGGTATTTCGAAAATACGACCTTAGTATATTATCTTCTACAGACTACAGGTACCAGCCTTAAAAATTAATTAGCGCGCTCGAAAACAATAAAGCCAAACCATAGAATATTAATGTAACGTTTAATATTTATTACACTTAAAATATCGGAATATTTATTCCCAAAAGATTGAATTTTGTTTGTAAAAACCGAATACGTAAATCAAAAGTTTTGAGTCTTATATATAGGTACCTACTATTTGTTTCGTATAAGTATATAATTTTATTTGTTTAGTGGAATGTGGATAGGTAGTGCCGTAGTGGATTGATTGTGGACGGTCACGCCGTCGTCTAACTATACTACAGTTTATTGGTAATCCCTTGCGTTAAACCTCATCGAGGTTCGAGATTGTCTATAATTATTAATTATTTACGCACATGTTTAAGTTTAGAATAAACATTGTAAAATTCAAAATTCTTAATAGCTACCTACTGAGGTATTTTACTTAAAATAATATAATTTATAAGGATGTTAAACAATAATCGATCCCTAGCAGATAGCAAATAAACCATTATTGGCATAATATCCCAGTAAGTAAATTTAATACCTATAGGTAGGTACCTAATTAATTATAATTGTATTTTAACAGAATAAAATACCAATAACTATGTGTAATGTCTTATGTCCGGTAAAAGGGAATTCGTTATCGGTACCTACATATTTCTGTTCGATTTAGAATTATGGTTTGGTAAAAGACAAATTAATAAATGATAAACTCATAATTACCTTACTATAAATACCTATCCGATATATTTTTTTAGTTCTACATTCATAAATTTAATTTAATATTTAAATAAGTCAAAAGTAAGAATTAATATATTATTTTATTACAGATTTTTGCATATAGAAAAATTATTTAAAATTTTAATTATTTATGCTTATATTTTGTATAATTTTCAATTGGTATCTACCTTGGTATTTTACATTTTTACTACAGTAAAAATCATCATGATGATAATTATCAGAACCTTAAATCATTTTCTAATTAAAAATGCTATATCTTGATATTGTTGTATTGTTTTGTACTTGTAGGTACTAATACCGGAATAAAGATTTTAATAAATACTTTACCAATCTACATTTTAAGTTTTAACAATAATAAATTCCATAGCAAAATATTATTTTAATTTCAATCTTTCAAAAATATAATATGATATTGCAACTAATGTAGGTTACCTGAATCCTTCAGTAATTCCAGATATTTATAATATCTGGGGCTTTAGAAAATAACATTAAATATTTTAATTAAAAACTTTTAGAGCTTGTAAATTATTTTCATTTAAACAAGTATATATATATATATATATATATATATATTAAATATATCAAAACAACATTTAAAATTGTTTTAATTATTATATTTTTAGTAGTTATTTAATACCCATACATATTATATTTATAAATACTTCTAAAATTGTAATCCTTTACTTTCATATATAGAAATATGAGTAATACATATAAATAGATTGAGTTTACCATATTATGTCAAATCAAAATGTAAATCATAAATTGTGAAGTATGAAATATGAGAATATGAGATATCAAAGTAGATCATTTTATCTAGATTATTAAGGTTGCATTATTATACAATTGTTACATTTAATTGAAGTATAGACTAAAGTGAACTCAATATTTAATTTATGGATCAATGTACCACATTATAATACCCCCCTCCCTTTCATAATCCTGGCTATGCCACTGATCACATAAACTATGTACTTCTATTAAAAACATATATTACAATGTACACTATGTTAATACTAGTCAATCTATTTCATTTTACCAATTTGACTTTTGTAAGTAGATACTAAGTTGTCAGAGGAAGCAAAGGGATATAATATGAGGTTTCAGTTTCTCTCAGGACTCATTTTACAAAGTTCCTATGTACATTCTTTATAATATGTATACTAATATATATTTATAAGAACAATTTGTACAATAGATTAGCTTACTAGGTATATAAATTATAAATGTCACAATCATATAAATAAAATAATGAATTTATTATTAGTAAATTTTACAAATAAATTAGACACATACGACATACCTATATAATAGGTAGGTAGTGATTAGTGGCTAAGATGCTAGGTAATATATATAACTAATATAATATCTAATATAAAAATATGTTGTTTTATTTTTTTCAGATTGTGGTATTGTCCTTCAAAGGCAAATTCTAAAAGGAATGATCATATACTTGTTAGATATCTCAATAGTTTTAATGAGTATTTTACAAGGTAAATAGGAAAATATTACTACACTGTACAATACAATTATCGCATTATTTTGTGATTTATCATCATAACAGATTGACTACTTTTAATGACATAATTATAATTCATAACTGTTGTCAATTGAGTTTTGATAAATAAACATAATATATACTTATTGTTTTAGGCACATCGTGTATAAATTGCTTTAAATGTTCATCTTTGAATGGAAGTAATGCAAATTGTGAAGATCCGTTTAACCCTGCAATGTCTACATACATAGAAAAGTGTATGGTTCCAAAAAGAGGTCATGTAGGAATGTTTCCAGCAAATTTTTGTACTAAAATCATTGGGAGAAATGGTAAGTAAAACACAAATCTGTTGTTAGATGATATTAAGTGTGTTTATTTAAATTCTCATGACGTAGGTAAAATTGGTTCAAATTTTGAATAAAATATAAATACCTATACTACATTAGACTTATTTATCAATATTTTGTCAATATTTTATAGGCATATTTCAATAATTAATTATTTATATAGAACCACAAATTTTAATTACATAGCTGTATATATTTGTTTCTACATTGTATGTACCTACAGGCTACATTAAATATTTTGTTTGGTATAACAGTATAAAATAATATCCTGAAAAATGAAAATATATATTAGGTATGTTTCATACTCACATTCCTATTTTAATGGATAGGTATGTAAATGTTTCTAAATATGAATTAATAAATTTTTATTATGAAATCATAAATACTTTGTATAGGTAGTATTAAATGCATAAAAAAAGCATACAGTAATTTATTCTAAAACAATTTTTAGATTCTGAGTGAAACGATGAATGTATTGATTTTACAATGATGTGTGTTTTTTTTTTATTTTATTTTTTATTTTTTTTGTGTCTGTGTACACGATAAGTAGTCGAAATAATGCTTCGATTTTCGACTTCAGTATCTTGTTCGATTGGAAAGTGAATATCGTTGGTGCATTGGGGAGGTCAAAATTTAAATTTCCCAGTAGTTTTCAAGAGCGCCGGGAAAAACAAAAGAAAAATTAAGGAAAAACGGGAATTTTTACGCAAAATCGATTTTTCAGAAAATTGAATTTGGTTTTTGGTGTAACTTTAAAACAAATGACCGTAGGTACATGCAATTTTCACTGGTTGTTTATATTTGCATCTTCTATACACGATAACATTTTGAAAATATTTTGATTTATTTTGAACAGTTTAGGGACATTTTCATTTTTAGTTTTTTTTTAGTTTTTTTTCTAGAAATATCAATAAAATTTTATTTGTTGGTTGCGAAAGCTTGAAAATTTAATAGAAGGCTCCTAATATATTGTTTCAAGGGCAGATGAAAAATATTAAAAATCCTTAGTCACAATTTTTTTTTATAAGCATTTAAAGTTCAAAAATTGACAAAATATGGAAAAATCACGAAAATTAGCAAATTATTTTGAGTTAAGAATTCGTAAAAATTTTTCTTTTTAAATCTAAGATTTGAAAATCTAATACAAGATTACTCATAAGATTGTCTACCTTTATCAATAAAAAAATCTCTACCGGAAAGTCAAATTAAATTTTTATGAGCGTTTGAAATTCAAATTTTTACAACATTGGATATTCACTCGATTTCTCATGTGGCAATTTCCTTTTTTTGTTGTAATTAAAAAACGAATTACTGTAGATACATGAAAATTTCACTGAATGTTTATATTAGCATTTCCTATACACCATACAATTTTGAAAATATTTTGACTCTTTTTGAGCCGTTTACGGACATTTTCAGTTTTCAATTTTTTTAGTTTTTTTTTCTATAAATATTAATTAAGTTTTATCTGTTGGGCCAAAAAGTGTAAAAATTTAATACAAGGCTCCTGATATATTGTTACAATATCAGTTGAAAAATATTAAAAATACATAGGCACAATTTTTTTTTATAAGCATTTTAACATCGAATTTTGACAGAATTTTTCAAAATCTCGAAAATTATTAATCATCGTAATTAATAAATTATAAAATGTTCAGTTTTTATAGCTAAGGATTGAAAATTTAAAACAAGATTTCACGTAAGTAGTTAATTCTCTTACCGAAAAATCTAAAAAATATACAATCACAGTTTATTTTTATAGTCATTTTATGTTCAAATTTTGACGAAATTACATATTAAAAAACCTAGTTATTTTGTTGTGATTATATAATATTATTCGTGGGTACCTACTTGAAACTTCTAAAGTGTACTATTATATATATATGATAATATCAGGGTTTGTTGTTGGTGTATAACGTGTTATTAGTACCTAATGGATATTGTGATAATGTGATATGATTAATTTGGAATTTATTATAGGTCAATTTTTTTTTAATACCATAGATATGTATATAATTTGTCTTAACCTAGACTGACATACCGTCTTCGCTCAGAATCGTTTTTCTTATACAATGATATTGTATCATTGAATTCAAATTTAATAGCATCAATTATACAGTGACCCACTTGTAACCTACTGTACAGCAGAGCGACATCCACTTACCCACCTTTTTTAACTTTTTTTTGTTTTTACAAACAATTATTCAAATTAATTGCTTCAGTAAAAAGTAGGTATTGTTTATTTGATTATGCCTTCGTTGGGTTAAAACTTTTATTGTTTAGGAATATGAAAATTATTTTACAGTAAATAGACACCTCCTGTCTGTCTTTATGACTTTATCAATGGTACATAGGCGCAAATAGCGTTTGAGATTTGGGGGGGCTGAAGCCCTAGGTACTGAATGAAGCATTTATACAAGTATTTAACACCTAAAAATTTCTTTTAGTACAACATAGGTATATCTTATACTGCTTAGTGCTTACTTAATTACAATATTGACTGAAAATAAAACTTACTAAATATTTTTTTCAAATGTGCTATTAATTCATCTACTTATAATAGTTGTCAAAATTATATTTATAATTATACATTATACACCACATAACTTTTAGGAAAACAATAGGAATTATTAATACTGTATGTGTGGCTTTAGAGCAACAAGTAACAACAAACTAATATAATTATAGAACAAATTTTTATTTAAAAAAATGTGCCCAATACATTTTTAGAGCTGTATTCGTCGGTTGGATTTAGCAAATGTGTTTAATATTATTTCAGTATCTACTATAATATCTTTTTCGATATTAAACATTGCTAAATTAGTAAATCAGCCCTGAGTCATGTTAGCTCTGACATATGTGTTGATCCTTCTCATAGTTGAAAAGGACCTTTCACAAGTGGCCGAGCTCACTGGTAATGTTATTGCCACTTGCATAATTTTAAATAAATTAGGAAATACTTCTTCATTTAGATGTTTTTTGATATTTTCAAAATTGACTTCTTTCATCATGTTTTTCATTACATTAATTTCACATTTTAAGTTTGAAGAATTGATATCAAAAGTATCCTGTACGGCTGTCCACAAATATACAAACAAAAACAAAGTAGTTTAAAAAAAAAAACATGTGTGTTACCAGTACGAGCGCGGGAAGTTAAACTTCTTTTGAATGGTACACGTGAGTGAGTGAAAAAGAAAGAAAAAAATATTAATTAATTTTAAAAATGAGAAGAAGTATCCAGAATTATTTATTATTGATAGTTTTATTATTTTTTTTATATTTTTATTCGACAGATCGATGGATAATTGTTTGTAGTATTGTTTTTATCCAGACAATAGATTAGTGAGTGAATACTAATAATAATAATAAAAATAAATAATAATCGATCATTAATTATTCATATTAATTAGTATGGCCCGATTATAATATATAATACTAGCTGATCCCGTGCACTTCGTCGCCCTTTAAATGTATCAACTCAATATGAGTTATGGACTCAAACTTTGTTCAATTCGTTATTCAATATTCGGTGTATGGTGTTCAAAATTTATCTTATCTTTTCCGTTGCCCGGAATAAAAATTCTGAATCGCAGCAGTACATTATCAGGTCTACAATAATAATAAAAATTAAAAATAATACCATGACAAATAAAATTTGTTCATTTACGAATTAGGTACATAATCTTAAAAATACAAACACGAATTTTGCATCATAAACTATAATAATACTAAAAAGGCTTAAAAAAATCAGAAAATGTTTGGGAGGGCTATTGAAGTGTTTGGGGGGGCTTAGCCCCTAAAGCCCCCCCCCCTATTTGCGCCTATGCAATGGTACCTATACCTAATATCTTATTTACAATTATTAAGTATGGTCATAACTCATAAGTTTTGATCGCTAATAGTAAATGTATAAAGTAAAAGTTAGGTTAGATTGTTAAAATGTCATATTAAATCTTAATCACAATAATATAAAATATTGTTACATAAATATAGCTATTTAAGATTATACATAAAATTATTGTTATAACTTAATTTTACTTAGTATAGATTGAAATAGTGTGTTTTGACTTCTGATAGCGCCTAAGTCAATGTTATTGTTTATTTTATAGTTATATTTTAAATTAAGTCGTTAGTAGATACCTATTTGTGATTTTACCAATTTGTCAAAGAACTTAATATTTTAACAGACAAATAATATGATTTCCAAGTAACTAAGAAGTGTAAAAATACCACAAAAAACTTTAATACAAATATTTATATCTTATACACTTTACACATATATTATTTAGTAAAATGAGTAATTAGGTAGGTATTCTTTAAAGTTTAAATGAAGATCTAAAGTATACTAAGTGTTACTTTCTTCTAAATTAAAATTTATTTTTAAAGATAAATTTTTCATTGATATCTTATCTATTGATTAATAGAGCAGGCACCTACCTACCTAAGTATATTATTTTTTTATAAAAGGTATGATTGTTAAGTAACTAGGTGTATACGATGTATACATTTTTGCAATTTATGGCGTCTACTTGTGTACTTTTAGGTTGTATAACGCGTGTGGTATTGTTGGTTAGGTTAAAATAAATAATAACTCAAAATTGTATTGCAGTGTTAACCCATGAAATTATGGTCATCAGACAATGTGCCATGAAAACTATGGACTCTCAGTGCGGTGAATTCAAATACCAAGATCACACCATGAACGGATGTATTCTCACCTGTGATTTCGACGGGTGTAATTCAGGACAAAATAATAAGCCTAATACCGTGTTACAAATTACGCTTTCTGCGTTGCTACTAGTACTAACATCATACTATATCAACAAAACTATTGAATGTTTTCAAATTACTTAGAATAATTATTTGACGAAAAATCAAATATCTAGCTTTTCAATGTATATTTTATAATTGTTAAGTAATTCATCCATTCTTTATTGTTATGATATTATTATTATTATTATTATTATTATTACATTATTACATAATATACATAAAAGTTAAAACTGAAATAGGGACGATAATATCACGTAACCTTATTTTTTTAAAAAATTATTATAAATTACAATACAACTATGTGTTCTTAATACCGTTCTTCCCGATTCCCGTCATTAATCTATCATCTATATTTATCTACCATAGTTCATATTATTATTATTATTATTGAAAATATCGAGCGTTTAATCTTGTATTTTCTTAGACTTAAAACGAATGATGTGTCAACTGTCAAGTGCCATTATAATAATTGTTTTTATGTTACTATTATGCAATATTCGATACCTACAGGTTGCTGGCCTGGTTAGGTATACTTATTTTGGTTCATAATATTATTATATTATAAATTATAATATACAAGCTTCAATATTATTCTATTATTTTTTTTTTTTTAAATTTTCAATCCTTATTTTGCTAAATTCATTATACGATTATTATAATATTATGGTTAATATTGGTTATGCTAATATAAGTTAGTCATTTAAGTAAATCAACGCTGTGATTATTTTGATCTAAATTGTAAACATTTGATTACCTGGTTATTAGAAGGATAAATATTGTTATTGAATCGAGCAAAATTATGATTTTAAATATTTATAGTTTACATTTGTTGACTAGTAGGTATTGTAGACGATATTGTGTCCATAATCAAAAGTAGGAGTATATAATAATGTACGTAGTACTTAATTGCTATTTAATTAATTTACTTTCATAGTTTATCCTATGAATTCTTTGGAAATGTTATATTACAGTTGTTTATAATTAAAGTAATTTTATTTGTTTACTGTATTTTGCTATTTTTTATTCGTTTAAAAACTAAATATTGATTAAAATATAGAAAAAAATTATTCTGACTTAATAGTGTAATCCTATTTATATGTGTAAAAAATATTGGTACCTACCTACTTTATTTATGCCTGTATATTGTATATGTATGACTAAACTTGATAACTATTATGGAGGTACAAATTTACATACCTACCTAGTGATGTATGATCAAATAATAAATAAAAATAACCAAGTTGCGGTTATTGTTTGGAGTTGAGTTTTACCTATCCGGCCGCCAAATACACTCTCCAATCTCTTTTATAATAAAATAGTATGGTCTATGGTTTTTTTTCGCTTATTAAATAGTATATTCAATAGTGAGCTATTTCAGTCACGATCCAAGTGTGAGGCCTCATTTCGCCCAAGACTAAAATTGCCTTTCCGCACGAGCCACACATACTATTTTTTGTCACGCCTCTGAGCTCATTAATCACTGCAAAGGTATTGCAGGGATCTATGCAACAACCAAACTATTCTACGAAAACAATATTTTATGAAAGAAAAGATTTGGTTTTATTTATTTTGAGCGTCATGATGCGTGGAGGTTATAATATGAATATAAGTTGCAGCCAAAAGCTTACGCTTTGTAAGAACCGTGGTATAGATTTCAGTACCAATAATAATTATTATATATTCAAATAAAATAAGAATAAAAAAAAATTAAATCACAACAAAGTTAATGCACTTTTGCAGGGATCTATGCAAGGAGGTTATAATATGAATATAAGATGTAACCAAAAGTTTATGTTTCGTAAGGACCGTGGTATAGATTTCAGTGTCTGGTTGTGAAGGGGATACGCGTGATATGTGTGCCCAGCACTTTTGGGGATTTTCACTTTCCCGCCTGCTGGACGGAAAAAGATCGCTTTCCAATGCTTCAACCGCCATGCCATCGGAAACTAAACTTTCGGCGCAGGCGTCACAAACAATCATATTTCATCTATTCCACTCTTTATACATACATATATCCACAAACGAATCCACTATAGGGTATCTAATATATACTAGCACAATGTAGGTAATGAAATTCTTTAAACAATTAAAGTGTCCCTGTTTACCACAGTGATATTTATAAGTTTATTCTAGTATGAATGTTTTGAACTCTATACTTTAAGTTTAGAAAATTATGAGCTAGCTAGTGCAGGTTTAGCCACTCCCGTCCTAACCTAACCTATATAAGTGGCAAAGCTTGAAAAAAAGTGCTAGTCCTGACTCCTGGATAAATATAGGTATTAGGTAACTACCTACTAATTATTATCTATTCACACAGTCGATGATCCACCCTCATATATAAGTCCCATATAAATACATTAAATATAGATAATAAAAAAATCGAGTGTTGATCTAATGATCTCAACCATATCATAATTTATAACCATTAAACATATAGGTATGCATAAGCTCTGATGCATATACATAACTTGTGTTTGATATTTTTTAAAATAATAAATATATTTTTTTTCTTATTGATCAATTTTTAAAGCTACATATGCCAATTTGAATTAAGAATTGAGATATTTTTAATAAATATTGGTCATTTAGTACATATTATAAAATATAAACTACTCACCTAGGTTACTTTTAAAAAAATCTGTACTTTATAACTACGTCGATCACAGAAAACTAACCACGTATAAAAATGGTTTTAGATAGGTGATTTAGACAAAAGTTTTATTAAATCAATTTCGATATCAGCAGTGAACGATTCCACAAAATTCTAGATTTTAATCATATTTATTTTGCCCATGCTTAACGCGGTGACGACATATTATTGCGGACCTTGCAGGACAGCGAAGATTCAAAACATTTAAAATTATAATACTGTGTAAAATAAATACCAAATGGCAACCTTTTCCACCTTATATTGAAACACAGTACTAAAAATAAAATTCGCCTTTGTCAAAAGTTGAAACGTCCTTTCTACTTAGCATTTGCGGCGGTTTGCATTGGCCGCATTGTTTGGATTCTCACCTCATCAGTACTACACAATATATTTCCGGCCACAGACGATACCGAAAATAACTCGAATCGTCGTACTTACACGTCATATACAATATAAACCTATCGGTATATAATATGCAATATGCAGGTATAGTCGTTTAGAGTAGGCACATACGGAAGTGTTTTCCGTAATTAAATTCCTGATTGTCGGGCATTGTACTATACGTGACGAGTGCGATAATTAATTTTGAATTGTTGTTAAGATTTAAAAATAACATTATAGGTAGGTATAGTACGAATAAACCATGGGCGTGCGCTTTAAATAATAAATTGTTTTTCGGTGCCTATATTATACGACTGATATTCGAAGTATTACTACTGATACTGAATCAGTGATACATATTTTTGACTTAATAGGTACGCCTATCTTAAGACATCATTGAAAATTCCTATTTGATTTATAATGTTATGATTCGTTATGCGTAGAACATAGATAATATTACTATGGAGAAAATAAACCTAAGGTATTTATGAATGCGACACCGAGGTAAAAGTATGTAATAGTGTACTTTTTGATGGAAGATAAAAGCGACAGGACAAAAGATACGCAAACAATAAATCATAAGTACTAGGTATTGTATAAAAGCATAAAAATCCTAGATTTTTGGCAAATATTTTATCTATTTGATTATGATAGAACCACAGAGCATCATAGTTTGTGTGTTACAAACATATTAAAGTTATGACATTATATTGTTGGTATGTGTATATACTTATAGTGAGGGGTAACCAGTAACCACTAAGCATTCGAGTACCTAAGGCCGGTATACCGAAAATTAATTTTACAAAAACTGAAATTACAAATGAAGGTTTTTTAATCAAATGCATTTTATTTAACGAACAAAAATATAGATATTTAAGAAAAATAGCCACGGTTACATTTTAGAGATATACATTTATTCTAGAACATAATATCCTTAAAAAATCAATCGGTTTCAATAGACAATTTGTATTGGAAAAAATATTATTTTATCATCACGATTATAATTTTACTTAATATTGATTACTGACGATTTTAAATATTCTTAAATACTTACTATATGAAACATAATTAAAAAAATCAATCATAATATTATTATACATACAATATAATATGTCATAATATTATGCCCGTATTTGCATAATCTGTGACACTTACAATTTACTATAATTTACCCAATATATGGTTAGAAATTTAGAATACTATAGAACCAATAAGAACCTAGAATACCTATACTGGTTAGAAACTTGGAACATATATAATAAAGTAGATCATCGTTTTGATTTCCAAATTTATACCTATGAATATCACTATTATATCTATAGGTAAATCTGAATTCTGCAGATTTAAATAAATTCCAAAATGGTAGGTAGTAAAAAGTATAAAAGTAACTTGATCAGCATAACAATTATTAAAAATAATAATTAATGATATAGCCTATGGATTAATATTGTTATTTTAAATAAATAAAATTATTATCAACAAACAATATATTTTAATACTCATAAAGGATTTTAAATTGGATATAATTGAGGTTAAGTATAAAAGTTGACATTGATAGTTTAGTCATAACAAACATACGACGACCAATCATCTTAAGTGACACGGTGTATATCAATATAAGTATTTAGTATCATTAATACCAATAATATCATTAATATAAATATTTCTCATTCTATAAAAAAATTATACCTATAAGAACAGTTTTTTTTATATATATTTAAAGTTCAAATTTTGATAAAATTAAGATATTCAAACGAAGAAAAACAATTATTGTAATTTTGTAATTAATTATTTTTAAAAATAATGTTTATATGTTTGTTTACCAAAAAATCTAAAAAAAACATTACTTAACCTTTTTCCCTCACGGCATACTAATCCCAACCTATATATGCATATATTTCTTTAATTTTTATATTAAGTTAGGAAAACTTATGTAAAATCATAATTTAATTTATTACAAATATTAAATTTATTGATATGAAATAACAGACATCTTACGATAACATTAATATAGTCATAGTAATAAATTTCCCTTCATTAAACGATTCCTCCGTGGTCGAATCGTTAACAAGCACTCCCAGATGTCGTCTTCCAAGTTCTATTCCAAACTGTTTATCAAGACTTCAAGATAATCCTCGATTAAAAATGACAGATACAAACAAACACACATCATTGTAAAATCAATACATTCATCGCTCCACTCTAAATCTTAAATATTTCGAAAACCGTAAATATCTTCGAAAAAATTTGTGTTAAAAATTTAAAATAATTAATATATTATATTAATGCAAAGATTAGTTTTAAAAAAAGCAGGTAAGTGGATGTCTCTCTGATGTACAGTAGGTTACAAGGGAGTTAATGTATAATGGATTGTATTAAACTTGAATTCAATGGTATAATATCATTGTATAAGAAAAACGATTCTGAACGGAGACGGTTTGTCAGTCTGGATATTTTATATTATTATTATTTATTATAGCCTATAAGTTGAACTAATATTATAATATTATTTTTTTTTATTCGTTTCTATGGTGATAAACAAAGCGTTAGAAATTAAAATCCAATTTTTAGAGGGTTTTCGTAATTATTCGGTGGTTTTTACAGTGGCATTAAATAATTATTGATAAAAGTAAAAAATGACCTCTCTAAAGTACCATCTTCATCCGATTTGCTAAAAATATATAAAGTACTAAATGTTGAAATTAAAGCACTCCTTCTGGTAGAAATTTTGTATACAGGATAAAAAAAAAAAATGAAAAAAACATAAACACAATTGTGAAACTAAAAAGGTGCTCTGCTGTACAGTAGGTTACAAGTAGGTATAAGAAAAACGATTCTGAGCAGAGACGGTATGTCAGTCTAGGTTTAAGTCATATTATATACATGTAAATGGAATTTTAAAAAATATTGACCTATAATAAATTCCAAATTAATCATATCACAATATCCATTAGGTACTTATAACACGTTATACATCAACAAAAAACCGTGATACTATCACAGATATATAATAGTACACTTTAGAAGTTTCAAGTACCCACGAATAATATTATACAATCACAACAAAATAACTAGGTTTTTTATACATTTTTAACTAGAAAATTATTATTAAATTTTAAATGTGATAATTTTTGTCAAAATTCGAACTTTAAATGCTTAAAAAAATATATTGGGAATATGTATTTTTAATATTTTTCAACTGATATTGTAACAATATATCAGGAGCTTTGCATTAAACTTTCAAGCTTTTTTACCCAACAAATAAAATTTTATTGATATTTATAGAAAAAAAACTAAAAAAATTGGAAACTGACAATGTCCGTAAACAGCTCAAAAAAATTCAAATTATTTTCAAAATTATATGGTGTATAGAAAATGCTAATTTAAACATTCAGTGAAATTTTCAAGTATCTACAGTCATTCGTTTTGAAATTACAACAAAATAAGGAAATCGCTACACGAGAAATCGAGTGAGTATCCAATGTTGTAAAAGTTTGAATTTTAAACTCATAAAAATTTAATTTGACTTTCTTATAGACATTTTTTTTTTGATAAAGTTAGATAATTTTATAAGGAATCTTGTATTACATTTTAATCTTTGATTTAAAAAGAATAATTTTTAAGAATTCTAAACTCAAAATAATTTTCTAATTTTCGTGATTTTTCCGTATTTTCTCAATTTTTGAACTTTAAATGCTTTAAAAAAAAACCATGTCTAAGTATTTTTAATATTTTTCATCTGCCTTTGAAACAATAAAGTAGGAACCTTGTATTAAATTTTCAAATATTTTTACTCATCAAATAAATTTTTATTGATATTCATAAAAAAATAACTAATAAAATTGGAAACTGAAAATGTCCCTAAACAGTTCAAAATAAATCAAAATAATTTGAAAATGTTATCGTGTATAGAAAATGCAAATATAAACAACCAGTGAATATTTCATGTATCTACGGTAATTTGTTTTAAAGTTACACCAAAAACCAAAATCGATTTCTCGAAAACAGATTTTGCGTAAAAATTCCCGTTTTTCTTTAATTTTTCTTTTATTTTTCACGGCGCTTTTGAAAACTACTGAGAAATTTTTATTTTTGACCCCCCAAAGTACCAACTAGATTCACTTTCTTATCAAAATGATACTGTTGAAGAAAATCCAAGTACTTTTACTGTCCTAAAAGGTGATGACAGACACAAAAAAAAAAAATAAAAAAAAAACACACATCATTGTGTAAAATCAATACATTCATCGTTCCACTCAGAATCTAAAAATGTATAAATATCATATTTAGCCATGGCGACAAAATAAATAAATAATCATAATCTGAATTCTGGGATATTTGTTTGAAGAAACTTTATGAGTAAATTGCATTAATAATGTCTGAATCAATTCTCCATGCCAATCCAAGTTCCCTAATATGCAAGACAAATATTAGACTCAACGAACAAATAACTTTTTCTTGTCGGCAAATTGAAAGCTTGATGAAACTTCAGTTATCAAATATGAAACCACAAGAGTGCGTAACGTGAGTATACCTATCCTTTAATTATTATACATTTGATATAATTTGTAAGTACCGCTGAATGTATAGTGGCATGAGTAACTACTTTAAGTATTTAAAAATTAAAAATAGATAGTACTTAAACCTACTAACTATCAGCTATAATAATGTATATTTAATATATACAAATTATAATGTACAAAATTACACAAAAGGTTAGTTGCGTCTAAATTAAAACTTCATAATATTGAAGAGAATTGGATACATGCTTGGTTGGCTGACAGGATATCCAGCGTCGTAAAAAACATACAACTTTCGCGTTTTAATCTTCAACAAGGAGTCGTCATTGTGCGTTGGATTGTCCATTATATGTCTTTAGTTATCGGTATGACGAATGATGATTTTTAAATAATATTATAATTATTTATATTAGCAATATAAACTATTATAAAATATAATATTGGTACTGCGTAAGGCCATGTGGGTAAATGTAGGGGGAGTAAACGAAGGGGGAGTATGAGGGCTCAGCCCTTCCTAAACCATTTTAAGCCATACCTAATGAAGCGGTCGTACATCTCCTCTATGTTTGATGATGATAACACTATATCAATAAATAAAATAATAATTACATTATTTTTTAATTTAAAACTAGATTATTGAAGATCGTATTTTTTTCCTGTGAGTTTTAATCTATAGATGTAGTAGTCAGGAAAGGTACTATGTCCTTGATTTTGCAATATCGAATGAGGACAATTTTTTTGGATTTAAGTGTACTTAATATTGAACTAGACATTTCTAAAAAAAATAGATAATGAACAAATTATTTTTACGTCTAGTTGAAAAGTTGAGTAAAGTTATGTTGTTCGAAAAATTGCGCATGGGCATCACTGTTGCACTTGAAAACGCCGGTGATAATATGATACCACCTCCAAATAGTACCGAATGTACGATGAGTTTCGTGTCTACGACCAAGTCCAAAGGGAAAAACGTGACGATCTCGGACTCGGATATTTCGAAGCCAACTGCTATACAAATAGCTGCAATTATTGCAAACACTTTACATGAAATGTTCGTATAAACAACTGTAGCGTACATATATATTATAGTTGAGTGTGTAATAAATTTAGATTTGGGGTGATAGCCAAAAATTGAGTTTAAAATTTAAGGGGGCTGTTAATGTTTTAAACAAATCCATGTGATGCTAGTCCCCCCAAACCCCCTTTTTTATACTGTAGGTATTCTAAAAATAACCAAACATATTTCAACATGTGATTTATTAAACCATTAATACAAATTAAATGGTTTTAGAGTTTATAATTTTATCTATACTAATGTTATTATAATATAGGTACCTATAACGTCATCCGTCACCAGTTGGCCAGTTGGCGGTTTGATACGGAATATTATTGATTTTATTTATATTTTCAGAATCTCAGTGATAATTTATAATTTTCAAACAACCAACATCGTAATATAGGCCTACACATTCTGTACAAACTATAATATTTTTTTTATAGTTTTTTAAAATAGTTTCAATACCTAATTCAAACGTTGTGTTAACGAAGCAATGTTTAGTATAGTTTAATTTACAGTAAGCTTAGAAAAATGTTATTACAAATCCACAGCCCTAGTAAAAATAAAATACTTATCCATAATATTTATAATATACATGTAAAAGAAAATTAATAATAATAAAAATAATAATATTATTATTTAATTATCAAATTATTCACATACCAACATAATATGTTAGCATGCCTAATCTATTTCTATACATTTTGTAAACATTATATATCCCGATTTTGTTTTGTTTTAATTGTTAAATGTATTTAAGTTTTTGGGACGATTTCAAGTATACTGTAGTACAAATGGCATTCAACACTGACCCGATACAAAAGAATAAAGATTTGAACAGGATAAAAGACCTTGACCCTTTGTATCTAAAAAATAATAGTGATGACGTGCAAAACGAAAGCACCGCCGACGAAGACAATGAATGTTACGATGTGCGAATTTGTGCGATTATGAACAGATACTTTTTCCGGGAACCGATCAACCCGTCTTTTAATTTCGATCGGCTGATAATAAGTATTGAGTAAACTAAAAGCTACAAAGAAAATACATTAAACAACATAAATTATGTATAACTTAGGCTTAAATCAGTCAATGTGTCGTAGACGCAAACTCTACGTTTTGGATAAGGATAATAATGACGAGAGCGTTCGCTCTACCAAGAAGTAAGACATTTTATTTTATTAGTCAAAGTGATTCTAAAACTTATACAAATTATGTGTGATTCGATCACTTTATTGTTCCGTTGTCTGATAATAATATAGGCACTTACCTATCACTATATGCCGTAAAAGATCTTCCCGCACAATAATTTTAATTGACGATTGTTGTTATGCCAAGAACAAACTCTGTTTTAAAGTTCTCAACAGCTTTTTGTATGTTTGAAATCTCAACTTTTTAATACATTTATTAAACCTACATAAACTATGTCGAATGTTTCATTAATATATTATCTTGCTGCCTTCTTAAGAATTCGTAAGAATTCCCTCATTTCTTTTAGAAGTACAATATTTTTTTAGAATAAAAAAAAAAAATAATAATTTCAACTGCTTATTCTTTAGAACCAACGTTGAAGGTTCTACACATTTTTATACCATTGCTACTAATTCAATTAAATTTAATAAATGTCCTACCTGTACTTTCTATAACAATGAGGTTTTTTCTATAGTCTCGAAGACTACTTAAACTCTTCATTGAATAGCTTAAAATTTTCAGCCACGTTAGCTATTAGCGAGCCTGAAAAATTTTGGTTTGTTGCACTCTATTTCCACTTCTTCCCTTAATTTTTCATATGAATCAATCACGGATAGGATTATTTGCTCACAGTTCGAATAATAATTTCGTCATGTCTTAGACCAGTGGTCTCCGATCTTTTTTTTTTACAACGGGTTAAATCTATAATGTGCTTCGGCATAACGGGCCAACATTTTTTAGACATGGATAGAGAGGTATTGAAATCGAAAATACATTTAAGAACTGTTTTTAGTAATATTATATAAAATATATTATTTTCAAAACATTAATTAACTTGGTGGGCCGGTGTAAAAAGCTATGACGGGCTGGAATCGGGCCCCAGGCCGTAGGTTAGAGACCCTTGTGGCCTTGTCTTAGATGATGCTTGTTTGTTAATTTATTGTTATACTCATTAATATGATACAATGTTTGTTACTTCCTATAAAACAATAGTTCTCAGAAACAAATTATAATTAATATATTGGTTTTCATTTTGTCTTATTTCAGTGTTAAAAATGTAAAAATACAACAATAGTGCATATCGTCTTTGAATATTGTTTGTTGAAAATATTATAACTCATTACCTATCACTGAATACGAAGAACAATGCCTTTAACAGCATTTTCAGGACTGCAATTAATATAAAAATATATTGTTATCACTTATTGTTACCACTATGGTTCTCTTATATACATAATAAATCAAAATAATAACAATTATATCATTTGTTATAATATAAAACATGCAAGGGCTAAATACATGGTATAGTCGTTAATGCACTTTCGAGATTACAAATATGGTCGAAGGACATATCTTTAAAACATAATAATATAATATGTTTCAACTACCTTTGCAGTTTGTTCTTATAAACCATAATAATATACTTATCTGCGACAGTGGTGTATTTAGATAGCCTATCCAAGACGCCGAGTGATTATTGCATTTTGAAATGCATTATACGTTAATATATATAGTACCTATATATCTACATTCTACACGGTTTAATAGTTTTTGCAAAAAAGAATAAAAATGAACATGTCTATATATTATTTATTTAATAAAAGTATAATATTATTATGAGTCGACCAGTTGCATAAGGCACAGTAGTATAGACATTATTAGTACTTACAACCATTTGTTCAAAATCACAAAATCGATATTTCACGAGAGTTTTACTTCTATAATTCAACAATAATTGGTCATAATTTTTACCTAGAACCATGTTTAATTATTTTCCATTTTCCCTGTTCGGTTAGGGTTAAGTTATGACACTAAACCTTAGACTTTCATCAAAATTAACCACCTCATAATAATTATGATTATGTAGATAATACCTACTACCTACTTTCAATCGTGTGAGAAATTAGACAGAATATGTGGAATAATATATACTTTCGAATCTATTATTATTATTTTTATATTTATTTACATACAGGCCCGTATTAACCAAAATTGCCGCCAGGGGCAACATAAAATTTGCCGCCTCCCCCCCGTCTCTAAAAAAAAATTTTTTAACTTTATTGATATTACCCAATTGTAGTAGTAAATAGTTACATTAATGTAAATTAAAACTCAGTTGTAATTTTTAACTATTTAAATTTCAGTAATAATATAATCATTAGGATTGTTTTAGACTGTTTAGAGTAATAATATTTAATTTCTTAAAAATAAAAATTTAACTTATTATGTATTTATATAAATTTCATATTATTATTACTTTACTTTACACTCAACATAAATAAAATACATATTTTTGAACATTGTGTCGATTTTAATAGTTTTTTGAACAATTTTATTCAAATTAAATTCTTTGAGCTTAGCTATTTTCTTGTATTCAGCCTCACTAAGCCTATTTCTTCTTGGAGCCATAACTAAGTAAGATATAAAAAATTATTACAAAATATAAAATGTACCTATTCAGAATGTGAATCCGTGACTTATAAGGAGAGAATTCAATTTCTTAAAAATAATGTATCAAGTACCTACTGTTTAATAAAAATAATATTTTTATTAAACAGTAGGACCAGTAGGTACATACTTATATATTATATATTATATCGTAACTAATATTCAGTAACTCTTAAGAAAATATAGAGTTAAAATTTAAAGCACCATTTAACATTTTGTAATTTATTAATCATAATAGTCATTGCTACAATATAAATATTAAATATATAATAGTATAATACTATTGATTTTATAATATTTTAAAATCAATGATAAATTATAATACTTACCTACAGTTTGAAATTTTGAATATACACACGTAATACGTAAATACGTAGATAATATGATATTAACCACACATTGGTAACAATAAACAGACCACAGAAGTAGGTACATCACTACTATCTATATTCTATGCAGCACTACAGCACTCATTCACAAATAATTCACTACCTAATAATTGTGTTTGGATTTTCGTTATTGACAATATTATAATAACAGCAGTGCAATCAATTGTCAATCGGCAGTCGTAGACTCGTAATTAATTATCACCATCTACCATCACTGTATATTTTCTATTTTTAGTATGAATTTTCCATGTATAAAGGTCCGCACACACTGTGGCGGTGACGTTAAATTCTATTGTCTTGGCTTCACCCATAGAAAAGAATACAGCATACAGTATACAGCATACTGTAGAATGCTGTGTCCTACAGCAATTCACCGCCACCGCCATCGTCACCGCTGCAGTGTGTGGGGACCTTTACGATTCATAGAACTAAATACGAATCATATGTTTACAACAACAATATGCCCAAAGCATTTTATTGACATTCGAGTTGAAAACGAGTTTTATATTTTAGATAACTATTGATAACTTTATTAAAACTTTATTAGGTACCTACATTCAAAATCTATTTTTGGTGTAATTATAATATTATTAGTTATTTTTTATTATACATTCATACTAACTAAATATTATTATATTTTATTCTACATTTTTGTATTATACTCATTAGGTAAAATTGTATAAATAAATTTTACATTTTTGACCATTTCAATACCTATTTGAAACTTAATTTTTATATTTGCCGCCAGGGGCAATTGCCCCTCCGGGCCTCCCTTACGGGCCTGTTAACATATAACGACATATTCGTAGATGGTGACATTAAGTGATATTTATTTTGTGACGTTAAGAAGAAGTTACACCCACATGTGTTGTCACTGTCTTATAAAATGTAAGACATAGAAAAAACTGTTTTTCGAGGGAAATAATGGAGAAGGGTATAGTCATAACTAAGAAACGAAATTTTCACCAAATAAAACGGAGAACTTTGTCTGTGAAATATCGTTTTTATTTTTTCGATATCGGAATACAAATATTTATTCAAATTGAAAAACACAACAATAGTATAATTTGAAACAATGACCATTTTTTTTTGTATAAGTGATATAAAAACAAGTGGGTCACTGTAATGTGTAATGGATGGTGTCAAATTTTAATTCAATGATATAATATCTTTGTATTAGAAAAACTATTCTGAGCGAAAACAGTCAGTCAGCCTATGATATTACTAAGTATATTTGATGATATTATTGTGAATAAAGTAATTTATATATTAACCTATTTAAGTGGAACCTTGTTTTAAATTTTCAATCCTAAGCTATGAAAGTTGAACATTTTATACATTTTTAACTACAAAATAATTATATTAAATTTTCAATATGATAAATTTTGTCAAAAGTCGAACTTTAAATGCTTAAAAAAAAATATTGGGAATATGTATTTTTAATATCAACTGATATTGTTACAATATATCAGGAACCTTGCATTAAATTTTCACGCTTTTTTACCCAACAAATACAATTTTATTGATATTTATAGAAAAAATAACACTAAGAAAATTGAAAACTGTCAATGTCCGTAAACAGTTTAAAAATAGTCAAAATATTTTCAAATTTTTATGCTGTATAGCAAATGAAATTATAAACATTCAGTAACATTTTCATGTATCTACAGTTACAGGGCTGTCATATAGTATGCGGCCTACCTGCGACCGGCCGGTTTTTAGACAGGCCTAAGTTTATTTTAGATTCTGAGTGGAACGATGAATGTATTGATTTTACAATGTTGTGTGTTTTTTAAGTTTTCAAAAGCGGCTTGAAAAAGATGGTGGCGAGGAATAAATAAATCGGATTTATTTAATGCATTTTTGAGAGATATGGCTGAAGTTTTTGTAATATAAACAACATAATTTTTATTTATAAATTATTATTATATATTTTTTTTTGACAACAATATTTTTGACAAACAAATTTTTAATTATTAATTTTTTTTTAATTATTTAAGATAATGCACAATAATGCACAATAATGCACAATATTCATCATTTTTGACAACAATTATACTATAATATTATGATATAATTGATACTTTATTTATTTGCGGTAGACCGCATACTATATTCGTAAATAGCAGGTAGACCGCATACTATACTCGTAAATTCACCGGTAGACCGCATACTATATGACAGCCCTACAGTTATTCGTTTTTGAATAATAATAAAATAACAAAACCGTTACATGAGAAATCGAGTGAATATCCAATATTGTAAAATTATGAACTTCAAACGCTCATAAAAATTTAATTTGATTTGCTAGTTGACATTTTTTTTCGATAAAGGTAGATAAACTTATGAGTAATCTTGTATTACATTTTCAAATCTTAGATTTAAAAAGAAAAAATTTTTATGAATTCTCAACTCAAAATAATTTGCTAATTCTCGTGATTTTTGTCAATATTTGAACTTTAAATAATTATAAAAAAAAATTGTGACTAAGGATTTTTAATATTTTTCAACTGCTATTGTAACAATATAGTAGGAGCCATGTATTAAATTTTCAAGCTTTTTTACCCAACAAATGAAGTTTTATTGACATTCTTAGAAAAGGAAAATGAAAATGTTCTTTTACAGTTCAAAACAAATCATAATATTTTGAAAATTTTATCGTGTATAGAAAATGCATGTATAAAAAACCAGTGGAAATTCCATGTATATACATTCATTTGTTTTAGAGTTACACCAAAAACCAAAATCGATTTTGTAGAAAACCGATTTTGCATAAAAATTCTCGTTTTTTCTTAATTTTTATGTTGTTTTTCCCGGCGCTTGTGAAAACTATTGGGAATTTTAAAATTTGACCTTCCGAATGCACCGACTAGATTCACTTTTCCATCAAACAAGATACTGTTGAAGAAAATCGAATCTGTTTTATTGCCCCAAACCGTGATGACAGATACAAAAATTAAAAAATTAAAAAAAAAAAAAAAAACACACATCTTTGTAAAATCAATACATTCATCATTCCACTCAGAGTCTAAAAAATAAAACCTATATTTCACTGATGATGTTCTTAATTATACTGTACATTATTATTAATTTTAGAGTCTTAACTATCACTAAAGCTTGAGTGTTACTAACTTGATAATAATAACAAATATGAACTATAAGAAGAAATTTACAATTTACGAAACCAGATAAGAGTAATTAACAAAAATGATAAAATTTAATTTTTTTCTTTTTGCTG